CCGTGTGGGAAGGAGTGACATTTGAGGCTGGAGGTAGCAAAGCATGAAAACACACAGAAAGCATGAAAGTGAAGCATGAAAGGCCTGTATCTCATGTCTTGCATTCAAATTTGTATTTCTTTGATGATGGCAGCAGATCCTCCTACCTGGGTTGCTGTAACACCAGTTGACCTACCATTACAGAGCAGCACTTAACTTGAGTTACGTACTGAACCAAACAGGAGGCGTTCCCTGTCTTAAAAGGAGTTTACAAGTTAAGCATGGGAAAGAACCAACAGGATAAAGTGGACATCTAGAGAACCTAAATGTAATGATCCTTAACAGTCCCTTCAGCTGCCCTGAAAATCTTAGTTAACAAGACTTGGGTGTCTGTAGTTTATACGATGCATAACTTTACACCACTGGTTCTTACCGAGTACCTTGTTACAGAGATCTCTGAGATTAGAACAGCAGCTCTAACTAAACACTCTTGAAAGCAAAGGGAGGTTCTCTTCAAACACAGGCAGTACCTTTTACTGCTAGGCAGAATGATCATAGAATGGCCTAGGCTGGAAGGGACCTTAGAGATCATTTTAATCCAGCCTCCCTGTCGCCAGGGATGCCACCTCTCAACTAGATCAGGCAACACATGGGGACCGAACGGGAATCGAACCCGCAAGCTTGACATTGTTAGTGCTACGCTCAGCTGACTGAGCTAACTGGGCCCCTGTGGAAATACCTTGAAAAAGTGCTAAAGTGCAAAAAACTTTCGAGGCTGATGTAACAAAAATGACTAGAGCAAGAAAAGCAGCCAGAACCTCTACAAACTAGTCTTCAAGCTGTACACCCCCACCACACATCCAGCGTTTTAGGTTTCTTTTGTTGTAGAATACTACAGAAACAAGGTAATAGTCGTAACCTATGTGGAAAAAACCAACTGCATGAAAAAAGTGGTAGAACTACATGGAGAGAGTCACAGCTTTTCAGAGAAACAGAAGGAAAACAACATTTCTGACAGCAAGCTGTATTAGTGGCTTCAACAGCCAGGTGCAAAGGATATTCCTTGACACCTGAAAAACAGACAAGGCTCATTATCTGCTTTGGGTATTTGCCAGTACTTACAGGTAATCCCTGAGAACGTGCTGTTCTGATTTGGCGAGTGTTTCAGTACACAGTTCCATTCTGCTTTAACGTGTGACCCATATGCATTTGGTCGCCACATTTAAGGCCAAAGCACAGACATGGTAGACGGGGCCAACACTTTGAAAACTATTGTTAAAATGAAGGTAACAATACATTTTTATTTTCCAATTTTAATCTCTGAAAGTTATCTTGATTTTTTTTGGTTGACATATTAAGAAATGAAAATTAAAAAACAACCATGAGAAATAAGACCAGCATTATAATTTACAGTCAAAATTATTAAGTTTAGTAGTCATGAGCTGAAAGCATTTCCACCATGGGAAATGTACTGGACAACAGGTGATGTAAGCACTTCCAGTAGCTACAACAACATTGGCATTATGGGCAGTATAAGAAATTGATGGAGGGAGCTGGATTTTACAAGAAAACAGTCTTCTAGAAAATTCCTGTTTCATGAGAGCAGGTTTTGGAAAAAAAACCCAAACCAGCTCCAGTTCTTAAAACATTAGTTTCCATACACAGTGGTTTACCATCCACGTGATACATACAAGGGATAAAGATAAAAGGAATATTAAGTTGTTTACTGGCTAGTAAATCATTCAATGTTATGAGGGGTTTCCATGGAACCAGCTCCCATTTTCACAGATTAAGAGACCAGCCTCTTCTACATCAAGTGACAGAATTACAAGAAAAGGCTTTTCAAATAATAGTGCTTTCATGAAAGCTCATTTTGAGGCATTTTAACTGGGATGCAGTGCTAAATTTAAAATGCTTTTCAAAAGTTGTTTCCCCCCTCATTTTCCTGTACCATGCAAATGTATACATTGCAAATACCATGTTTTAGGGTAGCAAGATCAGCTTTTTGAAACTATCATTTAACATGATTCTGTTTTGTTTTCTCAGTAGTATTCAAAGATATACAATACTTGAACCATGTGGCATTAAATTTCCCGAATGGTATTTGTGGTAAGAAAGTACGAATGATACAGTGAATGAAAAAAAATTGAAAACCTATCACTTAAAATGATTTTTTAGTTTATTAAAACACCCCAGCCATTTATACAGCTAAGAATTCATGAAGACTTCACTGAGAATATGAATTTCCTACTTAAAGACATCTCCATTTTCCAGGAATTAATAGGTGGTACAGCCCAGCAAGATACCAGTGGCACGGACGGCAAGGCAGGTCACTGAGCTGAAGCCGCAGCAGCGGGGGCTCCTCTCCCCGCAGGAGCACTTGCAGGCAAACGCCTGAGACAGCATGGGAGCATGGATTAGATGAAAACTGGATCTAAATCCTATCAGTATAAAACTCACTGTCTCCTCTGGCAGCTACACACACAGCACAAACTGATACCCTGGGATTCCTCAGTAAAGAATAACATTTGTTGGATACTGTAGCAAAAGATCTCTTTTAAATGACATTTGCTTGTGACATGCTGTGAGTTATGCAAGATTCCTATTGCAGAGATGATGAAAACTCATTCTAGGTTTCAGGCTGCCACTAAAAAAAAAAAGGACACTATTATCCAAAGGTCAAAGTCAAGACAAGCCTGTGTCACCAAATTTTCGAAGGGCAAACGAAAAGGAAAAATTTAAATACATATATACATTCATCAAACTGAAGTAATAGTTATTCCAGAAACAGATTTGACAGAAGATCAAATATGGCTTTCCCAGAGTCACAGTTTCTCAACTCAGCATTTTAATTTTAGCAGTTTGCAGCAGCAACACTGAAATAGCTGGCATAAAATTAAGCACAACTTTAAGTGATACAGTTGAGAGTAAAATAAAATAATGCAAATTATCAATACAAAATACATGACTGTGTGTAACAAAAATTTAAAAAGCACACCAGATTTACTCCCTATGCAAAGTACTTTGCATGCATATGCTTTGGACATTTCAATAACTGCCTCAATATTGGGTAGAATTCAGTAATAATTGCATTTAGGATGAGGGGGTAGAGAAAAAATTTCACAAACACACAGATTGACAGTAGACTTTTATTAACATATCTTACAATGTTGATTACTGTATTCCTAGTTTTATACTCTTCTGATGTGTTATAAAGATTGATTTAGATTCTACAGTAATGTACTGTACTTAAATGATCATTCATACAGGATATCACACCAGAACATTTGAGTAATACACGCACACACCACTCTAGTTTGGACCTGTTATTTTTCAAGGTTAGCTTAATAAAGTAGGATTAAAAAAGTTATGGGGGAAATCAAAATTCTTGTTTAGCAGCATGCAAGGATATTCAAGTACAATTGTTCAACCAAGTGATTTTTTTGTTTGTTTGTTTTTAAATTGACTGGTGACTAATTCACCAGTACTAAAATAAACACTATGAAATACCCAAATGTTAAAGTTAAGGCTAATAGTTTTACTTCACATCCATATGCACAACCAGAGAACATTCCATTTTAAATAAAACAAATAATCAAATTCTGGATACATTATCTCTTGTAAATAGAGCATTGGAGCTTCAACCTATAGATTACTCAAGTTCATGAGCCCTGTAATACTGTTATGCTGGAGATGTAAAGAATCTTTTTGCTCTTTAACCACACTTACAAAATGGCCTGATATTCATAATGAGCAATGCAAAAATATTACAGGCAGAACTTATAATACAGTATCAAAAAAAGTAGTCTTTTGGAAAAGACATAGCCATTTAGTTGATGAAACAGAGTAATTCTAATCTTACAGGAAGTACTGTAATACTTTTGAAATATATATATATATTTATAGTTATACGTATAAAACCCAGCATCCTTTACTGTGGGGTTTTTTGAATTGCAGGTATCCAGAAAAACTCATTGTATTTACTTTTCCTTCCGTCCGTTCTCCTTGATTGCTATACAATCATTTTATTTCCCCTATACACTTTTCGCTAGATAACAACTTCCACTGGGGAACTGTTTTCATCGCATGTGTGGCTTTATCATAAGATGTTTATTTTACACGTGGAAATTTTATTTTACACGCAAGCTATGAAAGTCGAAACAACCAGGAACTGCTTGGTAGTATGGTATGAAACAGCCAACAAACGTCCAACACTTGTGAAAAACATTAGTAGCAATATATTACATACCAGTATTTTAACTATAATCTTTCCTACCTACTTACACTGTGGGGTCTAGCCCAGTCATGCCAGTTCTCACAAATTTTTAGCCCTCTAACCATAAACTGTTTTGGCATTCATCCAGTGAGGCTGCACATGCACTGGTTGTTCATCTAGGCTATTTCTATTGATTTGTATTTTTTCCTTTTTAGGAAACCAAGCAGTAAGAACAGTGATTACTCAGAACAAATACAATATAGAGGAACCTCCTGAAATGACAGGAAAGACAGAAAAATATGTTTCGTTTGCAGAATAGCCTGCACATTTCCAATCCAATCATTCTGGAACATACACCTTGTTTGAAACGACAGGCAGGCTTATGGTTGTTATGCTTGTAACTGGGATCTGCCATGTTGGGCACCAAATTCTCTATATACAGCAATTTCTGTATGCATTATCACTAACAATTTATCCAGCTGACATGGGAAAAAACGTCTCCTTTCTGGAAGGGAAAAAAAAAAGAGAAAGAGTATATGTTCCGAGTTACCTTAAGATACCTAATTTACAGCTGTTTCACTTATTTATGGAGGAAAAAAATACGAAATTCCTGAGAATGAAAAATTTTCAGTAATGCCTGAAATATTTCAATAGACCTCTCATGATAAGTGAAATGTCCTTTAAAATTCAACTTTCAGACCAATTGTTACTGTGCAGTCTCACAACCATTTTACAAATCCTGTCCCATTACAAACGCATAGCAAGCAAAAACCTCAAACTAACACAAAAAAGGCAAAGAAATTCCATCCAACATATTTAGTAGATGTAGTAGACATATACACTGTTTCAGCAAAAATTGCTAAAAATTTAACTCCATGCAGAGAAAAATAAAAACCTGACTACTATCCCTGGAGCCTCTAAACAATCACAAGTAAAATTTGTGCTTCTTAACAATAATGGGCTTTAAAGAACAGTTGAAAAATGGACTACTGAGTGCAATCAGATTGCTCACACTGTTTTGAGGATTTAATTTCAAATTATTGTATCGTCATTTAGTAGCAACATCAGGTAATTTTGCAAAAATTTCGCATGTTGACAAAGTTTCGTTTCCCTTTTATGCCCCCACTCCACCCTGAGCCAAAGAGCTAAACTCCCATTCAATTAAAGCTATTGTCAGTCCAGATGCATTCATTCATGGGAACAGCAATGATTCGGTGCGTAGATGATGCTGATGATTTACAAGCCATTATAATGTGGCCCCCATCTTTTATTGATATGATCAAAAGTATGAGACACCCACTGCTGCTCCAGCACTTTGTATCTTTCCTTGCATATGTAGAGAGGTTTACCACGCCTGTAGAAAAGGAAGAAAAGAGAAGAAAGAAAACCAAACATGGTCAACATGCTAAATAAATGGAAAACTACTTCATCATATAAGCAACGCACGATACTCCTACAACTTTCTTCCTAGAGGAAGCATGCATTTTTATTCGTGAGAGGCTTTGGGGTTTGCTTTTAATAACGTCACTGCTGGGATGTCCCTTTCTCCCTTTCTTGGACAGCAGAATCCAGACAACATCTCTCGTTCTCTCAGGCCTGCGTAGCTTGGAAGCTACACTTCTTTGCTACACACGAGAATCCAACTGCACCGTTTGATTAAAGGCCAACCAGCAGCAGCTTTGGGAGAGAAGTGTTTCCTGATGCAGCACTCAGAACTGACCGTCACTGGGAATGACAACAAAAAAACCTGTCTGCTGGGTGCCTGGCGTGTGACTACACTACCTTTGGGCCAAACAAACAAAAAAAAGAATAAAAGAAAAAAAAGTCATTCCAACTTGCAGTAAATGAGGATTTTCCACTCAAGAAAGGAAAGGATTTATTCTAGTCGAGAGGTGGCGTCCCTGCCCAAAACAGGGAGGTTGGACTAGATGATCTCTAAGGTCCCTTCCAGCCTAGGCCATTCTGTGATTATCTGTTATTGCATGTATTGTGTAACATAAACCTGATCTACACAGAGAAGCAACAATGAAACACACTTGTAATGAAAACATTACCTAAGATCTCTGTCTTCTTCACCATGTGCATCCAGATAAACAGAACCCCAAAGGCAGAAACGATGGCCTCGTATGATGATGATTACAGACGCATTAATCAAAAGAAATATTCCTGTCCCAGCTCCACAGTTTTGAGAATGCTGTAATAGTATGGGTGGAGAAAGGAAAAAGTACAAAGATTCTGTTAGTGTCTGTCAACTTCATAACAAAAAGGATTTAAAAAACACTAAGTAGTTTTACTTGAAGTAACACACACAAACACTATTTCCTAAAAAACACTCTGAGAAAGGGCAGTCTGTCCCAAAATTCTCCAAGCAAACCAGAGCTGCATGGCTTGTGCTGACATAATAACATCTGCATACAAAAATGGTTCCCTAATCAAAACAGCAGGATATTGGTTGTCATGCAAAACCAGAATTACCTAACAAAACCAAGCAAAAATATTGTCTTCAATATTTTGAATTTGATGTTGTGCAGCAAACTGTATAGCATAACCAAGTATTTTTCAGATGGCAAGTATAAGAGAAAGTATTCAGAAAAAAATTAGTCGCAATGGTCTGTATTGCTAAACATTTGCTTTCTCTATCCATGCTCACAGATCTAGTCTATAGCTCTTTTTATTTACAGTTTTGTTTGCTTCAACGTCCTTCATCTCTATGAATAGCATGATCTGTATTAACTCATTTTAGCAATTGAAAATGTGCTCTTCCTATATAGTTTTATTACAATTAGAGGCTATAATCCCATCAACTATAATAAAATATAATTATATAGATTTTTAATTTTTTTTAAACTTTGTTTTCATGAAGTTTGAAACCTTAAATATAACTCTTAAAACTTAAATATAATTCTATTTTAAATTTTATCCACCTCTCTGTCTCCCACCATATTACCAGTATGAGAAAGGCGAGTTAAAACAATTTTAAAAGCGTCCCAGATCACTCTGAAATATCTTTGAGTTTGATTTTATGCCCCATTTGTTAATATCTCCCCAACAAATTCCCCTCATAGTTTTGTAAAGCCCAGGCAGTTCCAGCTTTCTACTAATTGCTCTATGGCAGGAAACGGAACAGCTGTCAAAGCAAACCTTTATCATAGACAGGAAAACACTCTGTATGTCACAGGCTGTATATGCTGACTAGAAAACTCTGCTGCTAAATTAAAGGCCTTATCTAGCTAGTGTCTGTAGATCACTAGTAGATGGTCAGATATATCAGAAAGTACTCTCTAAAATGAAAAAAAAATTGCATTGATAGTCTTATGTACACAGAAAACAAGGAGACAAAACAGAGGAAAATTAAAAACAATATGTGAACAGTCAGAATGCAGACAAATTTCAATAGGTTATGAATCAAAACCATGTGTCGACACCACACACAATAGCTTTTTAAGAGTTTTTCAGACAGGTGAAATAGGCTATGGGCTTAGGGAGGTGAATAAAACTGCTCTCTAGAATCCAGGCTAGATCCATCTATCAGAACAAAGAATTAAACATTATTATCGCGGGTTGGACGAGATCACCTTTAAAGGTCCCTTCCAGCCCAAACTATTCTATGATTCTCCAACTATATAAACAGGTTTTAGCAAGAAAACCATCAAAATTGAGCAATGGTGTTAAAAAACTATCCGTGAGTGTAAGAATCAATTACAGAATTTTAATTAACTCTCTCTTACCAGTACACATTCACAGTAACTCTGTTGTTTGCAGCATAGTCCTTTCAAGCACACAAAAGTACCACAAACTAGACAAACAGCAGGATCTTTAGGAACCTTGGTACAAACAGTACAAGTCTTTCTGTGGTAATACTGAAAAATGGTATTATAATTCTCAGGCAACTGAAGGAGGCGTGGCAAGTCCCACTTAGGTTCCTGGATAAGCAAAGCCTACAAATCATATAAGAAAAATGAATCAGTTCTGCGCATTCGTTTATGCATTTGTATTTTCTAAGAAAAGAGAACACCAAAGAAAGGAAGCATACAGTTTGAAAATGTCCCTCTACTTCTGTATTTCACAAATTTAGGTGTCAAAAGTCACCTTGCAACGGTCACCTGCCTCTGGCTGAACACCCTCCCCAGCTGTGGTCACATTTCATCTTTCGTAATGGGTGTGAAATGGGCACTCACTTTTTCCCAAAGACATTTTCTAAATGTGACACTTTTTAAGTGTAAAAATCTTCACAGCTAAGATTTAAGAGTGACCTACAGGAAAGACATCTACTTGCTACACCAAGTTATCCTGGTGACATGAATACACTGCTGCTAAACCCTGTGAATGACTGCGAAAGCTGTCTTCTAGATCAAATTAGGACTAAAGCTTTCAAAAATAGAGCTGAAGTTTGACACTGTAAATGGTATTTGAAGACAACTACCCCATTTTCCAAACTGTGCTGCCCACGTAAATTTTGGGGCCACAAAGAACTTATCAGTGCTCACAAATTATTGATAAGACAGTCGCTACCTGAATATTGTTTTCAAAGTCTAACTCTTCTCTTTTGTTCTGAAAAACATGGTCCAATTTTATGCCTTTTTACGGGTGGTTTGTAGGTTTTTTAAGACAGTAATGTGTTTTCCTTCAACCTACTCATTATTACTGGGTCTATACTTGATTGGCGTAGAGTTCAGATGGGATCTGTCTTGCAATGTGTAAGAGTGCATGACCTGAAAACCTAACTAAGAGGAAAAATAAATAAAAATAACTGCATTTGTACTCAGTTTCTTTTTGATCATGGAAAGAACGCTATCATCAGTTTCACTGCAATCTCTCTCAAATGCCTATCAGATTGGCAGCAACTGTACTTTTAAGATCAATCTGAGTTTTCAAATCTTCATTCACAATAGCCTAATTCATGCCTGCAAACACACAAGAGCAGATGCAGATCATGTTGTGGAGTGAAGAATGCATCTGCTTCCTCTTTCACACCATAAACTTGGGAGAGGGGGACTTGAACTGGTGAGGTGCAACTTCTTCATAAAAGCCATGCAGTAATGCTGAAACATTTCTGTTTCACAACTGATATTCCAATGGCACTGAGTCAAGTCTTGGTATTGTTCCTTTAACCTTCAGAGAAGATGTACGATCTTTTACCAGTCAACTATTAAAGAGCTTTTATCCTTTTGATCTTTTTCAGTATTGCAACTGAAAATGCTCAAAAATACCACTAATGTCGAACAGGTAAGAAAAACCTCTGGTAAGTATTCTCCTAAAGGACAAAGTTTCTATTACGTGCATTTGATAGTCTTCAGGAGCAGAAGCTCTAGATGCATAGTATCATCTAAGGATAGTGTTTCTGTACTCTGTCTCCAGTAATCATATAAAAGATAGGTTTTCTTAGTTCTTTTTTTAACCAATCCAACCCATATCCCCTAACTAATATTTTTTATTACAACTTCTCATTTACAAGTCAGGTTCTCAGATCCTTATCCAACACAACAGAGTATGTGTATAGTGAATCAAGCAATCAACAGCTGTTCCCACATGAGGACTGTTTTTGGAAGAAGTAGTTTTGCTGCGTACCTTTACTTGATCTGGATGACTATCTGCAAATGAAGCCAATTCTGAGCACCACTGGGATATCATGTCAAACGCTGGCACTGGCCAATCGAGACAAGAGGCACTGGTGAACTGATGAGCCGGCTGAAAAGATGGTAACAGACCCAGGCAGCTTGCAAGAACTGTGAATTCTTCATCCTCCTTTTAGGTATGAAAGCAGAAATGTTTAGATTAATACTTACACTCTGAATTTTAAAATAGTTTATTAAAAAATTATCTATTCCAATAAAAGAAGCAAAGACATTGTGGTACAATGATGCTAACAGAAAAGCTTCTGTTTTTTCCATATTACCTCAAGCTGGATTCTCAAAATAAAAGAAAAATGGTAAGGAAAAAACCCAAAATCAAAACCCACACAAACCCCACAAATACAAAACACACAAATGAAAAAATAAAAAACCAACCCCAAATCCCCAGTAATTTTCCTCCTGTTTAGCACCCCAAACTGGCTTGTAGATATTTCACAGATGGGATGATTCTGAAGCAAGGAAACATGGGAATTGACCTGCAGAAAATTCCGCTTAAATCAGTCATGGAACTTAAACATAACTGTCCGCTGACGCAATGTCTCTCAGAATAAAGCCCAAACATTGCCAAGCATTTAGCAAAATCAGGATTGAATTTCAGTCTGTGCGGAAATCGTGCCATCTCTGCAAATGTTGGACAACTTTTAAAAATATGTTGCTGTCTTATGAGACATGCATCTATGACCTGATAAAAGAAGTGTGTATTTGCTGAGTTTTAAAAATACAGTACCTTTTTTTTAGGGAAACTTGAAAAAAAAATTATAGAAGACAAATTATGCTGCAGAGCTATAAATACTATGAAATATCATTTAAGAAAAAATCTTAGTATAGAAAATACAGATCATGAAAAAGACATCGTAGAAATCTGATTTTTAATCTCTAGCTTTTAAATGGAAACATTTGAGTGTGTCCCACTCAATCTGTACCTGGCAACTAGGTAAATCCCCTCCAAAAAGATGGTGTTGCAGAAGGCTTGTGATCCTGAGGAAAGGCAGGCAGAACTGCTGCAGATAGCGCTCTACAGAATCAGGATTCACCTACAGGGGAAGGAAGCAATTACTAAATTCTGCCTCAGATAAGTTGTCTCCTATGTTATAAACTCCAATATGAACCAAATGCGTTTTAAGCATGTATACACTGTACACACCACTGCATCAAACAGACATTCCAAAGGCCAGCGTCTCACTAACTATCTGAAAGAACTCTGGGTTTTATCTCCCCCTTGACAAATGTTTTTTTCTACTAAAAGATTTGGTTCTCCGAGTTTCTGAGACATCTTTCATATCATGATTAAAACCTACAGTTACTACAAGTATTTGTCAATAACGTTTCCAACACAGCACTGCCCACATCTGCTATTAGTGAAAGGAAGATTTGCACAGGCAAACTGTCCCAAAGGGACGCGCTTTGATCTAGAAAATGAAGAGTTGTACTGCAGTCTTTTAGCAAGATCAGAGAAAAGTCATTATAACAACGAGGCTGAAAAGCTTCAATAAGAGACAGAAAGGGGACATGCTGGATAGATTCTAAAGAGATTTTCCAGTACCACTGTTAATTCTTCCGTCTCTCCTTCTTCATATATCTTCCCCTTAGACAGCTCACTAATCACGTGGCCCAGCAATACTTCCCAAGATTTTTCTCCACTGGATGTATTCTGCAATAACAAGGAAAGAAATCCAAAATACACTGGTCATGAGAAGGAAAATAAGCTGTAAAAGTAACAACGATTGAGTAGATTTCCTTCTGATCAACACATAAATTTTGCTCTACAAAGATACACATTGTTTAATAAAAAATAAATATAAAAAAAGAGAAAATATAATTCCACAGAAAGGCACTGCATTTAGCTCACAGAGCAGAATATGAATTGCTACTTCAATTACATACATTCTAAACTGAGGGTTATATGAAAACACTTTTGTAATGTTGCATTTCCCATGTGTTTTCCATGAGTATAAGAATGTTTACTTTAAAATTAGGAAGAATCACTCTATCGATAGACGATGTTTTAATGGAAATTACATTCTAATAAAACTAATTGGGGAGGGACTCCTTACAAGGCCCTGTAGTGACAGCACCAGGGGTAATGGGTGGAAGCTCGAAGAGCGTAGGGTTAGACTAGATCTAAGAAAGAAGTTCTTTACCCTGAGGGTGGTGAGACACTGGAACAGGTTGCCCAGGGAGGCTGTGGATGCTCCGTCCCTGGAAGTGTTCAAGGCCAGGCTGGGTGGAGCCTTGAGCAACCTGATCTAGTGGGAGATGTCCCTGCCAAAAAAACCATCAGCCTTCAAGGGGCTTCTCACAGAAGAAAAGTAAAAATTCTCATACTGACAGAAGTTAATGTGTTATATGAATTATACTAAATCACAACGTCCATTCAGAGCAACATTCTGTTTAAGATGCTACTATTTCCCACTTGGCCTCACCAGCTATTGAAGACAAGCATGCTGTGAAAATTCCACTAAAATGGACTGTCTTTAATACCAAGAGAGATGGCTACTCCTTTTCTGAGCCGTTATCATAATCTGCAAGCCTCAAGTACAAAGTGCTTCATGTGAAGCAAATGCTTTCACATGTTTCTATCAGAAAACAATTTAGTATTACCAGGTAGCAACCCACGTGCCTACATCTATTTTTACAATACAATACCATAAAACACACTACAATAAAATCTCTCTGTACACAGAAAATTAAGCATTGTAAATATACGTGCAGATATACTCCAACCTCTGCTACCAAGACAAAGGCAGTCCAAGTTTATCATATGGACTATGAAAGAATAAAAGCCGGTAACACTTCAATCTATTTATACGCTTTCTACCGCAACCTTTAAACTGCAAAATTATGTCTCACTTGGGAATCTCTTAAGTAAACAGGAAAATGGAAAAAAATCCTCACAGCACTAATCACCAGCTAACAAATCACAGTACTGCCTAGCGATCTCAAATGCCTAATGCAAGTCCAGAAAAAAAATTAAATTCTGCATATTAGCAGTTCGGCCAGCACATAATATGTGCTTAATACCCTGGAGTTGTGTCTGACCAGTATGACAAATCTCACTTGTAAGTGAAAAGCAGGTCATGCTTCTCAGTGTGCATTTCATTCCACAGCCAACATAATCTAAGGCCCAGCTGTTGTACAAAGGGGCATTCCTCCACCCATTTCCTCTCCTGGCCCCAACACTTCCCACCTTCCCCTTGATCTGGCACTGGCACTCTTCTGACCTTCTGGGGAATCGATCCGTGGAAGAGAAAAATAACTGAAGGATTAAATGAATGCCAGCACTAGTGCAAGGAACTGTGTCTTTTGGTGGGAACTAGCATTCAATTAGCCGAACTGAAACAGCAGGATGCGCCTTCACTTTACTTGTAAATACTATCACAAGGCACGGAAACGATGGTGGAGTGTCTGCCTGCCTAGTCTACAAATTTCCTTCTCTGCCTCTTCATCACATGAGCACTCTACACCACATATGGAGAGAAATTTATAAGGCTAGTCACTAACTAAGAAAAAGACAGAGGGTTCTTTTCGCCACTACCAAGCTTGCTTGCTTTTTCTGTAAAGGAGTGCACCAGAACAACCCATGGTTTGTCTCGAAGGCTTCAATTTCACGGGCAGGAAAGCTGCATTTACTCAATACTATTGCAAGTAACTCAAGACTGAAACTACAGAGAGACAGCCTCAGATCTGAAATTCAGTTCTCACAAGATAGTAATTGTGAAGCTTTTAAGTCTTGTCACATACCAAGACCTGCAAAAATCGCACACACGGAAACTGAAGACTGGATTTTTGTGAAGCTGAAGCAAATTATTCTATACAAAGCAGAAGTATGTGTTACATTCCTACCAGAAATACATAAGCAAACTTTCATAAATGTTTTAATAAATCAACCAACCTTTTTGAGAGCTCCTGACTCTTTCCATGCCATCCTGTCTTCAGCACTGCATTTAACAGACAGTGCTGCCAAGGCTTGAGTATACAATAAAGTGAACAGCACTTTTATAATGCAGGTGAAGTGTTCTGTAAAACAAAGAAATCAATTTTTAAACATTTGATAATTTTAGCAAACATTGGTTAGAGTCTCTATCTATGAAAATAATGCAATGAAAAGCAAGTGCTAAACAAAAGATACAATCCCCCCAAAATACACAGAACAACAGAAATATATTTACTGGGATTCAGAAATGACTTGGCAGCCGTAGTGAACGGAACAAGTACAGGGCAAGTAATTTTCCACTGCTCCGTATGTTCATCTTAATCCTGATCAGCAGTGACTTCCTCCTAGGGACCTGGTGATATTACAAAATTCTATTTTGTCCAAATGTTACATCAAGTTAAGCTACTGCTTACTGATAGCTAAAACTAATTGGGTGCTGTAGATGTAAGCGAATGCATATCTTACCATCTCTTCTGGCAGTGATTAAACCATCTAGGGTAAGCTAAATTCATGTAAATACTGGAAAAGTTAAGTTCCCAAAGAAATCACTGCCAGAAGGACATTTAACACACTTCACTTTCCGTGCCTTCACTTCCAGGTATGGATCCAGCCATACAAGACTTGCTGTAAATCACTCTTTTGTGAGTACCTATATACCAGACCTCATGCAAATACAGAAGGAGGGTAAAAGACCAACGTTCTAGAACTTAAGTTGTATTAAAAGATCTTTCTTTGGTTTTTAATATTTAGAGGATTATTATCTCCTACATACAGGCTGCAAGAGAAAGGCTTTGAAATCTTTTTGGGAAAACCAGCTACAGAGGCAAAATAAGACTTCTTAAATTGGAACAGGAAAAAAAGGTGAATGTGATCATTCTCTGAAGTGAAGATATGGTAGAAATCATTTTCCCTGTCTTTATTTTACGTTGTATTTCTCATCTCAAATAATCTGATTTTTTTTTTAAATCTAGGCAGATCAAAGAAGTTTCTGTAATCACTTACACCATTCCTTAAGCACAATCATAACTATAATATATTATCTAAAACAATGTATACAAAAGTGAGGGTTTTATAAAGTCCTCTTTGGCTTTGAAGTCAAGCAAAATAATTTTATTTACATAAGCACCACACAAAAATTGGGTTAAATTCATTCTTTCTTCCCAAAGGATTTAAACAAGCTTTGTATGTGAAAATGAAAACGAAGTAAGGGAGATAGAACTCCTTGGCTTCTTATTTCTTGTATCTAACATCAAATCCCACCACTGTGTTCTATAACAAACAAATACATAATTAAAATTGTGAAATAACAATTGCTTTTTTATATGTAACAAATGCTTACAAATCAATGCAGACATGGATTTTGAAACTTTTAAATGTCACCGAGTATATACAATAAGCACAATTTATGCACATAAATGATAATTTGTAACTGTGCAATTAAAAGCAGACGGTTTTTGTATTACCTTCCTATGGAGCTTATGTTAAACACAACAACAAATGCCGCTCTGCTTTATCCATCCCATCCCAGAGCAGGCAGCATTGTTACCATCTTTCCTCCCCACACTCTGCAGAATTCACCAGATCCCATCAGATCTCTAGGCCCGACATTTTCCCCCTGCTGAAACCTTCATTTTCTTAGCAATCCTCCTCCGGAGGAATCCTAGGGGGTAAGCTTTCCAAAAAAAAATCCTCTGGGATGGAAACCTACAAAATGAAACCACACAAACTCACGGAATTGTAAAAATTTCCTCTTCAGCCTGAGCTACAGCCTGTATTTGCAGCTAGAACCAAACTCGAGTACTGAGCTCTGTCTCCACCAAGAGCAGGGACAAGCAACATAGACCGGTTTCACGTTTCCGCCCGCCGCAGGCCGATGCACTTCCCTGTCCTCCTCTTGTCCTGCCCTGCCCAGGTGCTCAACACGGCGGCTCTTAGCACCTTCTACAACCATCCCAATGCTCTAAAGTCTGGGTTTTTGTTAACTAGAAATCCTCCTTGTCCCTATCCCCACTCGAATACTATTTGTTCAGTTCTCCAGAAATCTAGTGTATATTCCGTTTTTTAACATAAATTAATGTTCTGGTATTTATTTACATGTACGTGAACAATAAATGACTATGAATTACATTTTTAGAGAATCCAGAATGATAAAAAATGCACACCCCCACACCTTGGTCACCCTTAAGAAGTTCTGACTTTTGCACAAACTTTTTTTTTTTTTTTAAGGAAAATATCACAGGAGCAGTTTGGAGGTGGTATCCTGCGTAATGAGTGCCAAGGCTTTAAAAACAAATATTTTACAGTCACAAAAACATCATAGGGGAGACATACTAGAGAGAGGATCAATTACAATTTCATTACTATGTTTTATCTCTTATTTGTAAAATGCAAGATATTTGACAGCAATAGGTATCCATAACGGTAGAGCTGTTATGTTCTTGTGTACTGCAACAAAGTGATTTTATTTGCCTTTCTGCAACTCGTGTATGGTGGCTGCAGGGTCTTTTCCTGCTGTCTCCCTGATGGAGGCTGTGGTTTTGCTACATCATCTTTTCAATTTAATAATTTTAAAGACTGCTACCATATTTGTATGCTGTAGAGTAAATTAGGTAAATGCTGTCAGTCCTGTCTGTCGCAGATCATATACTGTGCACCGTTCTGCACTAAAACACAGTCAGGACTTCTGTGTTTGTACATAAAAAACCTAATCTCATATTCTGACAGTTTAAAAGTTGTATTATTATAGCTAGGCCATTATAATTAAAACAGAATTTTTGTACTTGTTTTTGAATAATACTGAGAAATGCTTATGTGTTTCTATTTTAAAAACTTTTAAACAAACCTTTTGTAATCAAATTACTTCACAGCTTTCCATCCCATTATATGCATTAAATAAACCACCTTAAAAATAAAACTTATACAGAAAATATTTCTAGAACTCCAATTTTAACATTAGTGCAAGAAATGTGCAGACGAATAAAGTGTATTGCCAACCACACACATCTTTTAATTTCAATATCAAATTAGATGAGGCAGTGGCTGCACAAAGAATCCACAAAGCAAACCAAATGAAAACTAGGACCTTTCTTAGTGAATTTGGAAGGGCGTCTTTATATAAATAACCTTTGAAAATACTCTTCTTGATCTAAAGCTTGAGCAGTTCTTTGAAAAAATACAAAGAACAAAGGGAGACAGCACTGAACTTCAGATAATCCATGACAGGTATATTGAAAGTTCTAGGATACAGACAAATATTGCAGCTTCCACACTGGAACTGGATGCTATTCAAGTTGATTATATTCATCCTACATTTAGTCAAGATCCTTATCCAACCATTAAAGAAAAGTGCTAGTGTTTGCCTGAGTGCTGCTTGCCATATTTATGTTGCACGTAATTGCAACTTTATAGAAAAGGCATGTGTCAGAACACCCAGGTCAGGCTCTTCAGCATCTGGGCCTCATCACACTTGCAAAAAAAGGGGCTGAATTTGCGTGTCACATACCAGAGAAGAAAACCTCTCCCACTGCCAGCCCTCAGGCTGGACCACATCCACCACTCCCAAATCACAGACCTATGGCCCCTGCCAGAGCAGCGTGGGGCCATGTGACCAGCAAACACACGTGCTGCCGCACCCGCGGCACCACGCGCAGCGCCTGGCCACTGCCAGCCAGCCGACCGCTCGGATTCTCTGCACCTACTAGCCTCGGGCTCACCTGCTCACCCAGACCCCAGTTTTTAAACACTTTGCAACATTCAAAGCAAAGCAGAAACTGAAACCACTGGAAGCTATGAGCACCGTGCTTCTACAAATCTGGCCACCACACTTGGGAGTCAGGTACTTGGAAAATACAATTTTTTTACGACAGTCGGTAACAAAGAAGAATGTCAATTTGCATTACTGGCTTGTTCAGCATATAGAAATTATGTTGCAGAAAGGGGTGGTGGGCACTGAATTCAATTTACAAGGAGAGATTTAAGCTTAGTTAACCATCGAGCCACTGCCTCCATGCTCAAACTACCTTTCTTCATACCCAACACCACTTTCTGTTTCTGTAAGAAAGGAGCTAGAAGTTTTAGAACAAAAATCTTCATGTTCTACAGAGTCCCAATTCATAACAGCATGAACACTGTCCATCCTCTGCACAGCTGCCACAGAATTAAACCAGAAACACCCATGTGGATTATTAGGCATTTAGTCTTCCACAATTTCAAAATGCTGAGCATATGAAGCCTATAAAAGCTCCACACAAGTTTTTGTGTTAAATAACAATAAAAAAAATCACAAATGGTTTTAATATCTTGCATACAGTGTTTATTTTGCTGGTTATACTACAAAGGAGGTATACACTACCTTCCTCATTCCCTTCTTTGTAAATTACTAAGTGCTTGCAAGTGCTCTGACCTCCACCACAAAGTTACTCCCGCAAAAAAACAAAAACAAAATCAAACTGTAGTGTTCTTTCTTTGTGATGTGTTCAGATCAATTGTCCTCTCTGAACGAAGAAGCTGAACAGTAACAGTGTATTTATTGCTTTAATCGATGTTGGATTGAAAAAAGATACCAACACTCATCCGATAGTTAACAGGGTAGTTAATGTGACTCCTAGCGCTGTATCTCAAAAGCAAGAGATGAGGTTGGGTCCTTCCTTACAGAGCACACAGTGTTCTTAGAAAATCACGTAAACAAAAAAGATTTTGAGTTACAAACACGAAGAAGATTTAATACTTGATGAACAATTTCAGTTTCCTGTAAGGATATAAACATGGTTTCTCTGAACACTCCAACATGCCTAATAAATGATATTGCAAACCCAGTACTATTACAGGAGAGTGTCCATGCTAAAAAAGGAAGAAAATATTTCATGGATTCTAAAACTACCGATTCCTCCTTCACTGTTGGTGTTCTAACACCATTACCGCAGCATCCCGCCCCAGACTGCAATGTCACCTCTTCTGCAACATGGTTAAATCTGTTGTTAGAGCAATATACTGGAACTACCTGTCAGTGCACACAGGCATCAAACTTCTGTCTGCACACCCCTGCCCAGCCAACTCCACATCTCCGGCACCCCACGATTACACCGACGCAGCACCGGAAGGTCAGGAGGCAGGAGAGTCAACGTGCCACGTGACCCGCAAAAGCCATTTTACCTTCTCATGCCTCAGCCCTCTACCAAGAATTAATTATATCAAATTCAACTCTGTGACCTACAAACTCACTACATTCTGTACCTCAGGACAAAGAAATCACGGAAGACTTTCTCTTTATTGTGCCTAACCATTTTGATGAAAGAAAAATTAGAAAGATAAATGGAAATTTATTTCCAATTTAATGCTTCGTAGATTTGAAGTGGTTGCATTCACCTTCTTCCTGCCACTTGCCATCTCCCTTTCAACTGCAGCACACACTAAACCTAGGAGCAAAGGCAAAACATGCTGCTGATAGGCAGTGTTTTACAGGATTCTCCACAGGATGCCTTACTAGTAATCAAATGTTGTCTTTCCTAGGATAAGGTATACTTTTGTAAATGGTGTTTTTCAGTGCTGGACTATAAACTACAAAAAGATTACTATTTGTACTTTGGTTTCATCACTCCTTTCCCTCTATTTCAGAAGATCTGTTAGTCTCATTAATCTTTTGTTTACTGCTTTTATTAAGTCCTTCCGACAAAAGTTAAGTTAAACTGTAGTAAAAAAAAAAAGTATATTTTTGACAATAGGCTTCCTATTTTAAGATATTTTATTGTCTTGGTATTGTCATATACTAATAATTTACTGGACATAATCCATAAATATGTATATTGAATTGAAAAACCACAACTCACAATGTTAACAGATACACACTGAGTCACGTGAGCTGAATCTGCACATTCAGTAGTGAGGACTGAACAACTTTTAAGGGGAAACAGTTTCTCCTACACTTTCTAAGTTGCATGCATGCATCAAGGGCAGAACAGTCCCTATATTTAGCTACTCACAAATTACCAAAACTCAGAATATATCCAATTGCCACATAGACCCTAAAGCAGAGAGTCTGTTCACTATCAGCAAATTACAATAAAAAGAGACTTGTTTGTTTATTCTCATTTAAAAAAAAAAAAAAGGTATAGCTAGAAATAATCAAGCCAGAGACCAGAGGGTTTGAACTAGCCCATCTTCTGGAGCATACATTGTTTATTAACAATATGGACCAGGTTCAGCTGTTCCTTTTTATAGAAAAAAAAAAAATTAGGTTTTAAATCAGTTTTGATTTTAGTAATGAAAAATCTAGTTCTTAAATATATATTTAATATTTATTCCAAATTATACTGTATGCTGTCTCTACTGAAGTTGCTGCATTACAGCAATTATCATCTTCATATATGACCTCTTATTATGTAAGACTGCTGCAATTTAAATTCTGAAATTCAAACTAAATTACAATCTTTCACCCTTAGGCACTCAGTTCAACTCGAAATATTGAGCTGCCCCTCTAAGCAAAGACATGAAGGTCAAACAAAGGACACTTTTCCTTCAGTAAAAGTACTTAATAGTTTTCTTCAGCTCTTGTATCTTTACTGAATAGGCTGATAAGGTGAGAAGACAGGAGACACAGATAAGCCTGTCAACACACAACAAAAATCTCTGTTCAATGCCACCTTCTGTAGATAAGACAGAAACATTTTAGAATACACAGCAAACCAGCTATGATTTAGCATCTTGGAACTCACCAGGAACACAGCCTCATATACATAATCACCCAAAGATACATGTTTTGTAACATACCTTTGTGCAGTGGTTGAGGCATGGTTAAAATCTGGATAAGCAAAAGGGATGAGACATCTCTGTAAAGCACAGGAACTTCTGGTTCTCCACTTACCGGCCTGGAAAGAAAACCCAAAGAAAATCATTTCTGATACCACAAATCCATTTTTCATTTTCATGTTTTATTTTGCATGTTATTGTAAATAGCATTACATTGGATAACAAGCTTACAGAAGACAAACACCAGACAATTCGCTAACTGATCTCAGATTTAAAACTATTTAAAGTTACTAATGGATTGTAATAACTCATGAGGAACTTGCCATTTGGGTTCTGGATTCTTGTTAAAGTATTTCAGACTTTCCAAAACTGCCTGAACTAGTTATTTCTACATACAGACTCAAAGAACATTCAGTATTTCACTTTTAGAGATTATGTTTTAATATAAGAAAATATACTGCACAGTAATGTAATTATTTAAGTGGTTTTCAAAGCATGTCATTTCACAAATACACATATATCCACGCCGCAACAATAACGAATCCTCAAATTACATTAATGTTACAGGGATTAGTCTTATTGGAAAACACTGAGACCAGGGAAAAGGTATTGCTTTCCTTTATGTAAGGAAATGAAGACCCAAGCAGTCATGAGAGGTGAGACTGTGCAGTCTTACACACAGTCTGTATTAAAAGTCCCATATGGCTAGAAGGACAGCAAATAAGCACGTGAAGAGACAGTGAAAACTTTTGAACAATTCAGATTCACTTAATGACATAAAATCCTCTTGTAGTCTTACACTTAAAAGAAAATGTTTGCAGAAAGGGGTTCGTATTTTTCTAGCTTTGTGTAGCAACATCCAGCAATATTCCAGCCAATAATCTTCTGTAGGTTCAACAGCTGAGCCAAAATGGTGACAAATCAAAATGGCAAAAAAAAAATCATCCTCTTTAATTGACATGGAGTGTGAAGGATATCTCAGGCAGGAGCAGCTGGCACAATGCAATCTGCATCCTCCGCTGTCACCTTTCCCCTTCTTCAGCACCCGCAGAATAAAGTGCTGTTTGGGTTCTTATTCCCACCCCCAAACAGGGGTGATACTAACCGGTTGGCTGCTGAATGCCAACGGGGTAACTGAGGAGAAGATGTTTGTGCCAGATACTGATCTGCACTGCTACTACAGGAGCTGTATCATGAGGCCTGAGCACAACCAGCCCCAAATCATGAGAAACAGAGTCCTCAACAGCTTCTTACAAAGAGATTCAAATGTTGCAATGGAAAGCATCACACGCTACCGAGTTCCTTTCAGTTCCTTCTGGAAGGGCATTTTCTTTCTATTGTTCCTCAGCCTTTGTCATCTTTCTCCTAGAATCATAGAAAGTTTTGGGCTGGAAGGGACCTGTAAAGGTCATCTAGTGCAACTCCTCTGCAGCGAGTAGGGCCATCTTCAACTACATCATGTTGTTCGGAGCCCCATCCAACCTGACCCTTAATGTTTCCAGGGATGCAGCTTCTGTCACCTCTCTGGGCAACCTGTTCCAGTGTTTCACCACCCTCACTGTAAAAAAATTACTTGTTCTTATCTAGTCTAAATCTACCCTTTTTTAGTATAAAACCACTACCCCTTGTCCTATCACAAAAGGCCCTTTGTCCTTTTTTCCTCCTCTTTCACCATTCTTCTCTCTGCTTGGAAACTGCAGGAAAAACAATTCTCCTTATAAGCTTCCTTTATTTCTGGCATCTACAGACCTCTACACATTGTGGTATTTTACTGGACCCTCCAGAAAAACCACCTGACAATCAGAATACATCCACCTGCTACAGTTTCAAGGTTAGCTTCATGCTTTGCTCCAGCAATCTCAACTGTCCTGCAGGTAAGCTACAACTAAAGAAGTGCTAGATACTTGTATTGGAAAGACACATATATCCTTACTAAGATGACTCCCAAAAGCACGGCCTCACTCTCCTCCTTTTGTTTTTTCTGCAAGATGCTGGGGACCAGAGAGTTTCCCTGTGGGGCTTTCGTGGGCCCTGCAGGAAGTGTCCAAGCTTCTGTACAAACAGAATCAGCTGGAGAACAGACACACCCAGACAAGACATGGAAGCCCCCTTCCACATTAGCTCTGCCCTCTCAGTGCACAACCAGTGAACGACTGTTGGATCCAACCAGTGCCTTCTCTTCCAAAAAGCACCAAGTTCTTCCTCTGATCCAACTCAGCTGGCACTTGGCTACTCCATTAGCTCAGCTGATGCCTCTAGGAAGGCACCAACTCCCCTTGGTGCCATCTGCCACTCAGGCGGAGCCAACGCGAGCTCTTGAAGACCACGTCCTGGGCAAGGCTGTCCACATGCAGCGGGATGGGGAGGCACGCGTAAGCTCCCTGGTGCCTTCTAACAGCTTCACAAATCTAATGAGTTTATCGTCTTTGAGGCACATAAACATAATTCTGCTTTTGGAAGGAGATGCCTTCATAGTTACCAATTTCATGAAAACTCAGACTTCTCTCTGTAACAGGAATTTTAACATGTGGAAGCGGTCGCATAAGAGAAGAATTAAAAGAACACTTTTGCTGATATTAAGTCCAACTATACATTTTCTAACTACTTTCCTACCCCTCTCTCCCAGTGCAGTAAAGCACACTCTGAAGCAATAATTTTATTAAATGGCATTTTATACAATACGCTCAATTGTGAGAATAAGCACAAATAGACTGGTTGACTGGTCATGTAAGATGGTCTAATTGGGCCTTTTGAATTAATGAACCCGAAGAGCTACAGAGTAAATACTATCCAAAAGCCTTTTGCTATAATCAATCATTTTGCAAAATGATTGTTGTAAAACACTGTAACATATATAAATATACATACTTATATATGGGAGTATCTTAAAAAAAAATTCTAAAAATCAGTATAGTGAATTCTAAAGAAGACAAAAGGGGTAAAAGTTTGTATCACACTACCGAGTCTCATTTTCAAAAATTTACAGGCAAAGAAGATGCTAATCTCACAAAGTCACTCTAATTCTACTTTTACCTATGGCTAGTTCTATTTTATGATCGATGACATTGAGTTTTAAAATAACCCTCATTACATAATGACTTTAAAGCCACGGACATCTCCTAAATTACTTCTCACCTTTAACTTTGAGGAAAAAAAATAATTTGGAATAACATGAAGACAAAAAAAAAATTAACTCCATTTGGTGACATTCAAATGAACACCTCTTTCTGACATACGTATCAACAGCAGCATCATTTAACAGTCATGGGTCAAATACTAGTTCTGATGAAATTAAGAATTCTTACATATATAGAACACCATGACTGACTGGCAACATCACAAATAAATGAACTCATTTTCACATACGGGGCCAACTGAGTTCTTGAATTTATTTATTTAATATGAATTTGAGAAATAAAACTACATTAAATGTCAGGGGTTTAGATAAGCTGCTTCCATTTACATCAAGTGCTGCAGCATATAAAGTACTTAAAACTGCTCTGTCATTTAAGACCTTAAGTAACTTCTTCATTATGACACTGAGGCTGAATTTATAAAATGTTTAGAAACGTCTTTTATGGAAATTGCCCAACCTGTTAATCCCCAATGCATATGTGAAAGCTTGATAAACCTGACTTTACAAAAAACTGCGCCACAGAAGCACTGAATAAAATGAAAGTACTATTTCAGATGGGACCAAGAGTAATGTAAAATTATTCAAATGTACCATAGTTGTACCCTGTATCCATTACAGAAATGGAGGGGGAGGTGTGGAAATAAACTGCACAGTGCAATATAAACATGCACCAAAATGGAAAACACATTGTTTGACTTTCTCTATGCTACTGAGCTCTCCTCCAGACCAAGGTAATTGAGCTGCACCTCTCTGCACCAGTACCAGAGCTGTCTGTCAGCTGACAGCTGAGCAACTCTGCCTCTGTATTCTGCATCCTCCTCCTGGGGGAGGTTATACAGGAATCACTTCTTTGGGAATGGATACAGAGAGAAAGCTGCCCTGTTTTGAAATAAGCAGCATGTGCTTATGGCCTCTCCTTGTAAAGATATATGCTCCCCTTCCCCTCTTCTCTCAGCTAGAAACACTTAAAATTTTGGTTTAATGCTAACTCCAACTGATTAGAAAGTTAAAAATTCAATAAATAAAGTGGATACAGCTAAACAAAGGCTTAATAAACTAGGGTAAATTTATATTCTCTTCAGTATTTGCAGAATGAGATACAAAGCCCAGAAATCTCAGCCTGCAGAAAGGTCAGAGTAATAAAGGTCAGAGTAATACATAGCTTCTGATCTTTGTGATAAGAAAGTATAATTCTACTGTTTATTCTGGCTACACTCTAGGATATAATTACAGTTTCATATTTGCTCTTCATTGTGTCATAGCGGATTTTACAGCAGGCCAGTTCTCATTACACAACACAGGATTTCACTGACAGTACCAACTCCCATTCTCTCACCACTGTGCCTCCAGCACTCCCTTGTCACCCGTTCCCAAACTCACTCTACTTAACCCTTCTAAAAACATGGATTAGTTGCTTGACTTTATTCATGCTGTAGCCTGCTCGAGTTACATCAGCACAGCTGAAGAAGACTGTGAGCTACAGTATAGCGGAAGGAAGAAACAGCAAACACTCCTGAAGCCGGCATTACTGTCAAAACCTTCGCACTTTAACGTATATCCTCAGACACTGGTGTTTCAGACAAGATTTGCACATTTATTGAACTGATCGCATAAATCCTGTTGCACCATGTGCATGTATATATACTACCTCTTGCACAAACCTTCACTATATTAACTTTAACTACATTAACACGACATTTCAGCACTTTAGTTTATCATGCAGTTCCCCCACTGCATGTGCTTCTACTGCAAATATCTTTAATGCTTTACCCCATCATTCTTTGCCAATGCATTTTGTCTATCAAAACAGACACAAAAATTTCAGCCTTCATAGACAGGTATATTTAAAAATATGTATATCCTTTTATTTCAGGTTTGCCATTCCTGAAACTCTGCCTATTTGGACTAGTCCATTAAATTCACATCTGGGTTTAGTAATCATTGCCTCCAGCTGCTCATTCTCTGCCCCCTGCCAGACGCTATTATTCCCCACTTACACCATAATAATTGTTTATTTGATCACCATTGAAACCAGATCTGTCCCTAGCATGATAATCTGCAGCAGCACCACCTATGCGACCAACTTCGTACATTAAATTCGACATGGACTGCATAGGAGAAAGAATCCGCTATACTGTTCACAGTTCATCAGACGCAGCTTTATCTTTTCCCTCCCTCTTTCAAACAGTTCACATTATTTAGGCACTTTTTTGACAGGGTATCCTCTTCCTCAAAAATCCCTTGTGTCTACTTTGCCTTGGTGTGACTGTAATGAGCACCCTCCTATCTTTTCTCTCAGGTGCCATTTTCAGCTGCAGATCTGGGGACAGTTGCAGAAGATGACACTGGGCAGAGCCCAGGGCTTTGGGAAGTAGAGCAGAGCAATTCTGTGGGAGTCTTTACAAGTTACTTCCATCAGTTCTCCCAGACACATGAAACCTAAGGCATGATTTATGAATAGAGATAGCTGGGTAGGGGAATATCAAGCTAAAAATTATGTGTAATTTTAATTGTAAAGATTTATTTTTTAATTTTAAATTTGTTTTAAAATTGTAAATATTTATATTTATATTTATATTTTATACTTATTTTT